ACACGAATCTGCAGCTTCTAGACTGACAAACACTGAATTTATTTTTATAGAAGTAGCTACTAAAACAAATCTTCCTTTCAGGATTAACAGTACTACTGGATAAAAATATCAAACATGCTTTTTTTTTATTTGACCAAGTCACAACCCATAACTTTAACAATTTTAGCCATAAAAGGAAGGGAAGAGGAATAAGCATCATATAACCATGATAAACAGTGCTTTTCTTTGTATAAACTATAAAACTTAGGAAATCAGTACTGATAGGTGAAATATTTTAACCGGCTTGATCATTCCTAAATGTCACATTCTGCTAAAAGTAGAAAAAATAACTTGAATTTTCTTCATGAAGTTTTATTGCTTTTGAATTAAAAGAATAAGAAAAAAACAAAAACAATGTGAATATATCAAAACTTGTGCAAACAACTATGGAAGTCAGTATGGAAAGTACTGAGACAACTGAGAATTGATCTACCATATGACCTATCCATCCAAAGGAAAGGAAATTTGCACATGAGAGTGGCCTGCAACCCTAATATTTAAAGTGGCAAAATTCACAATAGTGAACATGAAAACAACCCAAATATGGATCAAAATATGAATGGATAAAAGACTTAGACACATCTACTCTGTGGGACACTTCTCAGCCATAAAAAAAGAACTGAATTCTACTGTTTGCAACAAAATAGTCCCAACTAGAGACCAAAATGCTTAGTGAAATAAGCCAGTCCCGAAAGGGCTAAGAGTATATGTTCTCTCTGATGCAAGACACCGTTTAGGCAAATAACAAAATACATAAATGTAGGTATTCAAGTATAGAGATACACTCTCACAGATGAACAGTGTAATAGAGACTAGCACGCTGAGAAGTAAAGTTTTGTTGTAATATGAACCTCTACTACAGAGTAAAAATAAGACTCCCATTTAGAAACCTATAAACATACCCGCACAGAATGACACTAGATTTTCTGCCTCTACCTCTACCTACCATGTCATCATACATTTAAGTGACAGAGAATTAATCTTATAACTGTAAGTATATAATCCCAAACTGCACAAAAATAGTTTATCAGTGAAACTCAAAATTTATGTTTTCAAGGAGCTAACTATCAAGTAACTGCACCAATATTTACACTGGCATTAACAACTACACACATTATATTTTATCAAAATAAACCAAGCATATCCGATTCCACTTTACTTATTTCTCAAGTGATTTTCATTAGCACCTTTTCTATCCTATCAACGAATGTAAAAATCCCAATTCTAAAATTGAGTTCAAAGGATTTTTTCTTTAGGAAAATGAGACATTAAAAAGCACAATACAAAAATTTCTCTAAATTAAGCCCTTGAGCATCTTATTAACTACTTTCAGCATCCACACATGGCAGGGCAAAAAGATTATTTATTCTAAGGTAAATACTCAAACTTTGATATGTGCAAACATAGATGCTAACATCTGAAAAAACACATTTCAGTGAAACTACGCTAGGTGCTTCACATATTATCACACAAATTCCTACAGTGACACTGTAAAGCACATGTCACAAATTTGGAAACTAATCTGCCCATGGTAAACCTGTATAGATAGAGAATTTGAGCTGACACAGGTAAAAGAAATCCCCACAAAGAACCTTCAGTTAATACTCTTCTTCAAAAACATCTGATGGTATACTGTAAAGGAACACTAGATCTGTGCTGGGGCGGGGGTGGGGGCAGGGATCACACAATTCCTGCCACTGTCTTGGCTTTTTACTTTAGTAAACAACTAAGCCTCAATTTTTATCTCTTTATTTATATAGAGGGTATTCTACACCTTACAAGATGATGAATCTGGCTGTCAAAAAGAGATAGCCTGGTCCATACATAACAGGCACACGAAAACAGTGCACCTTTACTATTACTAATGCCACTGCCTTCTGGGTATACAATTTCTGTTCAAACTCCATTAACTTGTATGATACAATAGAACTAACCCCTTTCTTGCAATTCTAGTCATGGTAGAGCATCAATAGGAAGCTGTCTACACCAGTAATGGATACATCTTAGTAACACAAAATTTAAAGTCCTGTTTGCTTCTGGCAGCTGAAGTGTACAACTTTAATACTTCTAAGCTAAATAAATTCTAAGAGAAAAAAAACTCAAAACTTTTTCTGGACTATTAAATTCTAATGCTTACTCCAACCGACTAAAGTCTTCACCAAGAAATTACCAGGAGTCAGACTCAGAAGAAAGGCCCTTAAAAAACAATAACTTAGAAGCTCCAGGTAGGGAGATTAAAAAAACAAAAATGCGGCACTGAGAAAAGGTAAAAGATGAATTGTTTTATTACTTTAACACCTAGCAGAGCATAGCACTTTAAATGTAATAAGAAACGAAAAAAAAAATTTTACCTATTTCAATTCTCAGGGCTTCAAACTGTCTTTAATACAGAACTCTCTACCTCAAAGCACTGGCATAAAGGTTAAGTGAAGCCGTGGACATAAAGCACTTAATACATCATATTTAATGTCTGTTACTATTATTGTCACTAATATTATTTCTCCCACATTTTTCACACTGGCATCTATTTTTGTGTTTTTCAGTAAATAACACCACATGAATATACTTTTATTTATTTTTAAAGACTCATTTTATTTTGAGGGGGAAAAGAAGAGAGAGAGAGAATTTTTATCAACTGGTTCCTTCCTCATAATGCTGCAACCAACAGGACTGGGCCAGGTTGTAGCCAGAAACCAGGAGCTTCATCCAGATCTCCTTCACCAAGGTCTCCTACATACACAGCAGAGGTCCAAACACCTGTGCCATCTTCCCCAGGCCATTAGCAAGGAGTTGGATCATAAGCAGAGTAGCTGGGACACAAATGGGGGCCCATATAGGAGAAAATATTTTCATACTACACAACTGATAGGAGACTCTTATCCAGCATTTAAAAAGAGCTTCTGAAACTCAACAACAGGAAAACTAACAACTGTTAAAAAAATGGGTGATGGTATTGAGCAAGCATTTTTCATAGCTCAAATGGTTAACAGACATATAAGAAACAAGAATGTTCTGGCTCCCTTGCTATCAGGGAAATGGAAATAAAAATCAAAATGAGGTTCCACCTAATTCCACTGAGATTTGGAAATTTATTAACAATACCTGCAGGCATGCATGTGGGGAGAAAGGTATCCTATGCCACTTGGTGGGAGTGCAGGCCAGTGTAGTCACTGTGGAAGTCAGTGTGAATAGTGTTAAGACAACTGAAAATTACTCTATTGAATGACCAAGCTATCTTACTCCTGAGAATATATATCCAAATGAAGGGAAATCTGCATATAAGAAAGCGACATGCAACCCTATAAGAGCACATCCACAACAATAGACTTGAAACAACCCAGATGTCTGTCAATAAAGAAATGGCTAAAGAAATAGTAGTACATCTACTCCCTGGAATACCATACAGCCATTAAAAAAGAATGAAATCCTATCATTTGCAACAAAATGTTACATTATTCTCAGTGAAATCAGCCAATCCCAAAAGGATAAATACGATAGGTTCTGATATAAGGCAATATTCAAGGAAGATACAAAACAAATAGATATTTGTTTAGATATTTATACATAACAAGCATAAATGTGTTCTCATGGATGAACTATATATGTCACAGTAGGTATCTTTACTCTAGAATAAAAGGACTCCCCCTAGTGAAACAGTTAAATAACCCTTGACAATACAATACTAAATATTCCATGTTTGTACCTACAATTCCATGATACACTTAAATAGCAGAATGTTAAACTGGTAACTGTTGTAAGGACTATACTGCTGTAGTAATAATGGGGGGAAATGAAAGGAGAAAGAAATGGGGAGGGAAAATATGAGGCCAAGGGGAAAGCCCTATGCTACAAATATGTATTATGTAAAATAGTGATTTTAAAGAGAGTAGTTGCACTGAAGCACTTTTGTACTGAAGCACCACTGCATAGTTATATAGGAAATATTACAATAGAATCCAATTCCACAGAAATGTCTCTAGAATACAAGCATGGAAAGCCTATATGGTGCAACAAAAAACTATCACCTTAATTGTTCATTTTCATTCATATGAAACTAAAAACTGAAAAGGTAAAAGCACTGTGGTATAGCAGGTTACACGCAGTGCCAGCATCTCATGTGGGGAGGGCGGCAGTGTTCTGCCTTGGCTGCTCTGTTTTTAAACTAGCTTCCTGGTAATGTGCCTGGGAAAAGCAGAGGATGGTCCAGGTACTTGGGCTACTGCTCCCATGTAGGAGGCTTAGGGGTTAGTAGTTTCTGGTATTTGGGGAGTAAACCAGCAAATAAAAACACTTCTCTCTCTCTAAATATATATCTTTTTCTTTAACTCTCTCAAATAAACAAATCTCACAAAAAAAGGTATGAGAAAATAATAAAGGGAGGAACCATTTAAGATTGTACTATTCAAAGCCATAGCATAGTACGAAATACATGTCACCATATGTTAAACCTGACTTGAAAAATCATTGAACTAGGCCATATGATCTTTGAAGGGCTATATTTTAATAAAGTATACAGGATACCTTATTTGGCTCCCACGTATACGTGGTGTCCGTCAACACACCGCTCTTACAACTCTGTCTCTCACTAAACCCTCACTATGACTTGATTTATACCTCACAGAACTTAAGTTTTGTAAGCACAATCAACTGTGTCTCTCTAGCCTGAAATAAAGTCTTTACCTTTCCTTCTTTTTTTATAATTGATTTCTTATTAGAAAATCTGAATCACATAGAAAGAGGGAGTGACTGAGAGAGAAAAAGTGACCTTCATTCTGCTAGTCACTATCTCAAACTAATCATAACAGCCACGGCAGGGCAGGGCAGGGTCAGGCCAAACCAAGAGTTTTGAACTCTGTACCTGTTTCGTGCAAGAATTCTTGGAAATAGAAAGGTGTCTGCTAAATACCCACGATAAAAAGATGATTTACATTAATATAAAATGTAAGGAATTTCAACTATACCTCATCCTGGAGCTCATCACCACTTTTAACAGAAGCAAGCATGTCATACAAAGTGCAGCAAAGATCTTCTATTCTTGGTGCTTCAGTCATTTCCTTTAAACTTGTATTTAAGTACTTTTCAACTTCACACCATAAAAAGGAGCCATTTGTTTTTTCCACAGGCTTGAGTTCTGGTGTGCAATGATCATGCTCATTCAAAAACTTCTCATAATCTAGACTGATGATTTTCTGGGATTCACCATTTATTGGCAGTTCATCAAAGTGGTCCAAATCATGCATATCAAATGAAAATGCTAAATTTTTGCCAAAAAAAAATCCATCACTATATTCCTGTTTTGTCAACTGGACAAGAGCAGCAAGATCATCTTGACTAAAATGAGAAACAATTCTATTAGTAGCATTACAAGCTTCGGTGGCAGATGATGATGGAAACGGTCCAAACATCTGTTTGACAGCTTTTGTCTCCAAATGACCAACGGAGTCCTTCAAGTGAAATGTCATGAACAGAAATGCAGCCCCACTTTCAATTGCTTCTTTGCCATTATCCGTTCCAACTATTCAAAAACAAAACAAAGAGTATTAGCTTAACTGAATCATGTTTTAAGTTATTACTCAAAAAACTGCTTTTAATATTCCTCTAAGTTGAATGGTTACATGTATGAACAAAGTAAATTAAGAGCAGAAAAATCCATCTTCAAATTCCCAAAGAACTATTTCACATAAATAAATCATTGTAACTATATATATATAAGTACTGAAACCACCTAATAAAACCCTTACCTCCATCTAAATATAATTTGAGACACAAAAATTATTTGAAACCAAGCCTCAAAGACTGATTTGATGGGCCTGGAGGTATGGCCTAGCAGCTAAGGTTCTCGCCTTGGCGCGCCAGGATCCTATATGGGCACCAGTTCGAATCCCAGCAGCTCCACTTCCCATCCAGTTCTCTGCTTGTGGCCTGGGAAAGCAGTCGAGGACGGCCCAAAGCCTTGGGACCCTGCACTCGTGTGGGAGATCTGGAAGAAGTTCCTGGCACCTGACTTTGGATCAGCATAGCTCCGGCCATTGTGGTCACTTGGGGAATGAATCATCGGACGGAAGATCTTTCTGTCTCTCCTCCTCTGTATATCTGACTTTCCAATAAAAATAAAATACATCTTAAAAAAAAAAAGACTGATTTGACAAGCAAAATAAATCAAAAAAGGATAAAACAAGTATATGAACTACAAACTTTTTGAGCAAAGGAAATATCAAAGTTCTATGACTTTCCTGGTAATCTAAACTATTAATCTGGGATGATAAAAAAGAGATTTACATAGTTCTCATTCCAAAACAACTATCATCAAAGATGATGTTTAAAATAAAACTAGCTATATTATAAAACAAAGCACGCTGCTGCTTAAAGAGATTAGAAGTAAATTATCTAGCTATGAGGCAAAGGATCAGGTCCTAATTTCTTTAAGGCATTAACTCCTTATACCCAATTCTCTCTAATAAAACAAGAGGAACTATATTCACAAAACATTGCAAATTCTTAGAAATAAATAAAATCTTCAAGAACTCTCAACAGTCAATGTAACTTACCCAAAGTAACACTGGTCAAGTTGGCAATATAATTCATACTACCATCATCTTGGAGGCATAGTTCCAATTACACTACACACACATTTTGAAGAGCTTACCTTAGCTTAATCTAAACTCATACAGTCAGGAGTTGGCCCCATGACTTTTTTCCCTTTTTTTTTAAACCTTATTGTCTATTTTATCTTTCTCTAACCAAAGGGGGCTTTACATTCAGGAAACAAAAAAACAAAAAACACAAATTCAGTCCTATTCTACAGCTATTTTTCTACCCTCTTCAATCTTTCCAAAAGTCTATGTTCAAATCCTATCTATGTTTTAGAAGGGTACAATATTGTGACCAATTCTATATCTTCTCACAATGTATAGCCACATGTGGTTGTTCAGCAAAGATTAGGTGAATTAAACTAAATCCAAGCCACTGTGACATGAGATTAGTATTTTTTTTTTACCATATACCACACTCTTTGCTCTGTTTACTTGTACATAAAAATCTAGACACATAAACAAGCATTTTACAATATCTGTATGAATTCTACTTTTACTATCATATGTAATTTACAGAATATCTGGCATATAGTTTATTCTTTTTTTTTTAATTGCATTTCATTTTATCACAACGTTTCATAGGCTCTGATGTTCTCCCTTTCTTCCCCTTCCTTTGCCCTCCCCCCATGGTGGATTGCTCCACCTTATTGCAGTATTACAGTTCTAATCTAGTCTTGTTTCTTTCAATGCAAGCATGTGCCTTGCATAGTATCCAGTATCTTATTGCCCAGCTGAATTCAACAGCTTCTTGGGGAGACCAACTCTGGTCTGGAGACATAGCTGGCAGATTATTGTTCTGACCAATTAAATGCCATAACATCAAATCAACAAGTTTCCAACATTATGGGGTTAATTAACATTGTACTGAGTGACTGATATGTTAGAGAATGTGAGTTCTTAACCGCATCCTGAGACTACTTCATTAATGTTTCAATTATAGTTTGTATACAACTGGCTTCTATCTACCTTAAATTGGCTATAGGATACCATTCAGCTATCTGATGTCTGTTTTCATTTTTTAGCAGTTTATTGTGTTGAAGCATAATTTTTACTGAACTTGGCAGATTTTAGGATAGTCTATACATTTAGCAAGGCATGTGACACCGGTTGAGGCACAGAACACTGTTAGGAGGGGTGTGAAGAGACATCCTCCACACCCTAGTTAGGAGTTGTTTATTTTCATGTCCTACCAAGTAAGGTACGTGTGAGTCCGTACTGATCGTTTTCTGTCTAATTCTAAGCTTTCCTTGTTGTTCTCTATTTTAATTAATTTTTTTTGTTGGTGGTGGTGCTTGTTTTGGGGGGCTCCAAGGCGACCCTGATGGTCACTGCAAAAGAGGGTGGAGATCCAGTACTGGAACTAAGCAAGGACTAAAAAAAGCTCCTCTCCCTGGTCTTGGTGGGAGTTTTTTGATCTTTTGTTTCTGTAGACCACTCAGGGGTCCTGGCTGTTGTTCCGGTGACATTGGGCTCTGTGATGAGGGATCTGGACTTCTTCTAACCCATGTGGGAGATTCAAACGGGAGCGGATGACCTCAGAGTACTCAGCCTCCAAAGGCACTCCAATTCCCCGTGGTCTCCTTGGCAATTGGGATGTAGTCCTTGGTGCCCATACTGATAGTCCTTGACGAGGATCCGGGAGTCTTCAGGGTGGGAACACAAGTCTCCTCTTGTCCACCTGCTCCACCCTAGAATCCTCTCTGCTCAGTGCATATGACCTCCTGTTAAGAGGTTGTCTATCCTGACATATAGTTAAGCTTTTCATTTATTTTATTTACTTGAAAGACAGAGTGAAGGAAAGAAAGGGAGAGAAACATAAGGAGCTCTTCCTTCTACTAGTTCACTTCTCATGGGTCCAGGAGCCTGCAAATCCATCCAGTCTCCCACGTGAGCAATAGCATCCTGAGGTCTTGAGTCATCCTACCTTCCAAAACGCAGAGAGCTGGATTGGAAGTGATTGGAACTGGTGCTCCAATATAGTGTGCTGGTGTAGCAGACAGTGGCTTAACCTGTGTGCCACAAAACCAATCCCAAATTATTCTTCAAATTTAGGTCTGAGATAGTTTATCAAGCATCCTAATTCTACTGATAATCTAACAGGGTAAGGAGTACTGATACTAAACTTTAAGCAAGACAAGCAAGACGGAGCTCACAATTGATTATGTATGCATTTACTACACATACACATACTTTTGTAAAGATGACATTATTACCACTTTATATCTTGGAACTTTTAAAACAATTTTACTTTTACAGTGTATCTTCTCACCTTCTCTAAACAAAATTTAGGAGAGGGGCCCGGCGGCTTGGTCTAGTGGCTAAAGTCCTCGCCTTGAATGTGCCGAGATCCCAAATGGGTACCAGTTCTAGTCCCAGCAGCTCCACTTCCCATCCAGCTCCCTGCTTGTGGCCTGGGAAAGCAGTCAAGGACGGCCCAAAGTCTTGGGGACTCTGCACCTGTGTGGGAGACCTGGAAGAGGTTCCTGGCTCCTGACTTCAGATCAGCATAGCACTAGCCATTATGGTCACTTGGGGAGTGAATCAGTGGACGGAAGATCTTCCTCCCTGTCTCTCCTCCTCTCTGTATATCTGACTTTGTAAAAATAAATAAATAAGTAAATCTTAAAAAAAAATAATTTAGGAGAGGCAAAGGAGCTACTATCATGAAACAAGATGTATTAGTCTTTCTCATAGTACAACATGCTCATTCCTATAAATTTCAGAAAGATGTTATCACCAATTTGTTTACTAGATAAATTTTTAAAATAAATCATCTTAGGAAACAAAGTGACAAACAGAATAGTAATATTACTAAAACTGTATAATTTATATAGCCATTTTTGGTTGCCCACTACAAACAGGCATATTTGGCATTCATTAAAGAAAACACAGTGAATTCCTATATCGTGTCATTAAAGACCCAACAATAAGCTGAGAAAAATAAGGCAGGATCCATCTTTGAGAAAATAACTGCAAACTCACAAAAAACTTATTTTAAAATCTTGGAGTTTCAATTTTTTAATAAAACATCTATAAAATTGCAAAACCGACACTTAAAGATGTTCAGATTAGTTGGCCTGGTGCTATTATCTTTTGCGTTCCTAGCTCTCCAACACAGATACTCCATGATATCAATGAGCTGGGCTAAAAACAAAATGCCACATTGATGTTCCTGAAAAGTAAACTCTCCATATACTGTGCTATTCTGAAGTTCCAAATTCTGAAAACTAGTAACAGCACCTGTCACAACACACACAGAGATGCATGGATATAATTACTGTGTTTTGGAGACAATGTACTTTTCTAGAACACAAACAGAGGTGACCGCTTCCAGTTTCATCACCTTCCTACAACTATATTCAGGTCTTCCCTGACAGGCCAAATTTCTGTCCCTATATGATGAAGTGGGCTGCATTGGGGACCACTGGCTCACACATGGCCTGGGTGACTGAGCAGTACAGCTTGGAACAAAGCGATTCCAAGAAGCAGCAGTCACAGCGACCACTGCAGTGTGCCGTTACTGCACAGTCTTGAGGCCAGAGTTCAGTCTTCTGTCAACTCAAATGTTTGTAAAACAGAGAAAATAGCTGAGTCAAATGAATGCAACCAGTGGTATAACTGGTCTGAACTCTAGCAGGCATCACTTCTTCTCCACAAAAAATGGACTTGAAGGGAAAACTCAGGGGATTCTCAGACTGTGGAACCAGCACACAACTGGCAATGGGGTTGGCAGGAATGGTTGTGATGTTGATGTGCCAGCAAATCACATCTGTGCGCTTTGGGAGAACAGATCTGCAGAAAATTGAAAGTTACTAGGGATCTTGTTCCCAAGTAAACTGTCACTCAATTGCCTTTATACTGTAAATGTTATTTAGCAATGATTCATCTTTCAAATATTAAAGCTGATAACATTTAGTTGAAA